ATTTAAGAAAAAAAAAAAAATATATATATATATATGTATATATAATATTAATAAATATATATACAATAAAAAAACTGCTCTGCACAACTTGGTGGATCATAAAACAATTTGAATAGAGCATTATGTTGATGGAAATGTTAACTGTGTAAAATATTAAAATATGTTGTGAAAATGGAACAAACTGATGTATGTGCACAATTGAGAAATTGATATTTATGAAGATCAATCGCAGCATGTCTCACCAGGTAAATATTTCATAAAAAAAAAAAAGTAATACAAACATTTTTGAGAAATAAGTGATTTGTACATTTACATAATTGGTAAGGGAAAAGACTTTGGCTGCGTCCGAAAACTTATGCAGCTGACTTGCTGCCTCGCTGCCGTATGAGGCAATGACTTTGCAGGCAGTGTTTTTGCACGAAGGCACCTCATGAAACTGATTTCGGACAGCCTTCTGAGGCAGAGTAACGGTTTAATGATCTACAATAAAATAGAACGAGTTTTTGTGATAACTAAACGAATATTTAATTACTATAATACTGATTTCTCGCTAGAAATAACATCGAAAGTGTAAAAAGTTAGTCAGAAATATACATTTACACACAAACTGACCACCAAATGCAACTTTCAGACGCCATCTTTATTTTTTAGCTCAACCGTCACGGAATGGAACGCACAGGATTGTGGGATATCAAAGGCAGCGAAGGATACATCTATGCTGCCTTCAAAATTCGATCATAAGAAGGTGAGACAGGAAGTGAAGCAGAATTTGTATTCGGACTTGCCTTGATGCCTTCCTGCCTTGCAATGCTGCCTCAGAAGGCAGCATTTTAGAGTTTTCGGATGCAGCCATTGTGTAGCTGTGTGCACAGACCATGAGTTCAATTTTCATTTTGTGAACAGTATAGGGATTAACGTTTGTGTATTTCATTCATTCACCAGACCCAAACATACATAAGTTTCAAATGCCACTAACATTTATAGTATAGTAATTATAGCAGTGTAGATTATTTGTAGGGATGCACCGATACCGATACTGGTATCGGTATCGGGCCCGATACTGAGCTCCTGCTGGTTCTCTGCACTGGCGTTTAGCAAAACCGGAAGTATCTATGCACACACTCGTTAGACAGGTAATCCAAGATTGCGGAGATATTCAACTAGCCCATAATGTTGGGTGTTGCCATTTATAAAGCTAAAAGGTGAATGAACACCCGTAAACTGAGGCACTTTGTTGCTGGTTTAATAAACTCAAATAAACGCATCCATGTGTCACGTAACATGCTGATAAAAGCTCACAAAAGCCCTATTCGCACAGGATTAGTATTACCTGGTGACCTCTAGTAATTTGTAATAATTGCGGAGGTCGTCTGAGATCTTAATTCTGTTCGAATCAGCCATATCTGTAATTTGTAAAGTAAAAATTCCCCCGCAAATGGCCTACCATATTTCGCCGAACACCGAGGTCCTGTGATAATTTTAGACCCTTGCGAATCGGCATCTCTGTGATTTGGCCAGGATTCGGCGGGGTCGTTTATAATTTTTTTCAAGGTTTTTGTTTCCTGTGCGCCTTTTTATCTATCTATCGCGAAGAATGGAGGCTGCGTTGGAGTATTTTGATAGTATTTTGGGTGCTGGGTCATATCGCTATACACCATAGAATTATACAATTTGCAGAAAGAGAAAGCTGAAAACCACCAGAAGAGCGAAAACAAAACAAAACAAAATTAGATGGAGACGGATGACATGTATAGCAGCCAGAGGCGTCATGCCCATTCAAAGTGAGGGGGCACGTGCCCCCTCAGATTTTTGAGCCAAGTGGATTTTGAATGCAGCTTCCTAAAGACACAAAATAGCCGAATACTATTTTCTATATTTGATACAATCACACCAGCATGATTAAATTGTTCAGCGCATCATATCATCAGCTGCTAAATTCTAATCTGCGTTCGCTGGCTGGCACTGAGCCAGAGACAGACGCGTTTTTACAGCACTGCGCATTATAACCAATCACACACAATGCTATTGAGCTTATGAATGCAATGGCAAATGATTGCATTTCAGATGAGTCATCGCTAAAATGCCGGTGTTTTCTTCACTGGCTCGCTGATTTAATACCTCTTTCTGGCGAATTCTCTCATTAGAAACAACAAACTGCAGATGTGTGTATGAATCTGTAAGTAAGATATTCATTTCACAGCTTCAGTGATTTTAATGGGAGTTTTTGAGAGTGCTTGAACTCTAGACTGTCAGTGAAAATGTTCTTTGATAATGTAAATGTTCTTTGCTCTCTTAGAGGAGAAACAATAATGTACAGTATGTGGAAAATAATGTGTTTTTTTAACCTTAAACCGCATAAACACATTTCATTACACCAAATACACAAAATAATGTTCTTTTTAGCAACTTCATATGACCCCTTTAAAAATATGTTATGGCATGATACCCATATCTGTTACTTAAGCAAACAGACAGGTTTTTATGTATAGTTAATAGACTACATTATTAGGCTACTTTAACCATCGCCCACTATAGATCAAGTAACATTATATAAAGGTGAGAATCGAGATATTTCATGATATAGTTAATGAGTTTGGGAATGTTTCGAATAAAAAGAAGAAAAAACAAAAACACGAGTGCTATTGGCTGCTGTGTGTCACATGACGACCCCCCCCCCCCCCCCCCCCGTGCATGACGCCCCTGATAGCAGCATGCTATACATCCTGCAACTCATCTGTACGAGAAAAAAACAAGACCCGCAAATTCGTGGCCACAGAACAGCAGATTATGAATGCAATACACAAAGTCTCATTTAGTGTTTTCCTCCCGTAGAAAACCATAAACACTTAACATGGCTTAATGTATTAAGATAGTGCTATTAAAAGATCAAATTCGATATACAGTTTATTAATTTAATGTACTACAAGGCAAGCAGATGGCCATGAACACAACGCACAAACTTTCACTTTTCCTGCCATACAGCACGCTTAATGTGGCATAATTACAGACTAAGATGATAAAAATAAAGATCTTTTAATAGCACTACCTTAATACACTAAGCCATATTAAGTGTATGGTTTTCTACGGGAGGAAAACGCTTGAGAAGCTTTGTGCATTGTGTTCATAATCTGCTGTTCTTTGGCCACGGATTTGCAGGTCTTGTCTTTTTCTCCTATAGATGAGTTGAAGGACCCTGTATGTTATGGTACTACAGTGCCATCCACCATGGCTGAACTGAGGTTAAAATTCGGCCCTGGAAAAAATCCAGTCCATCCGTCCCATGAGTTCCCCTGTGAATGCTATGCTGGGTTATAGGGCCTTCAATTGGAGTAAATAAATAAAACAGGACAGAAACAAATAATGATATATTACTGAATTCACAGCAAATGCAACAAACTAATACTGCATTTTTTGTCACATAGAAATGCACTTGACAGTATAAGCATTGATTTTGTGCTAGAACATAGGAAATTTACTGCTAATAAATGCTGTCATCCTTTCCTCACCATCATGTCTTTCCAAACCTCTGACTTACTTTCTTCTGTGGAACACAAAATATATTTTGTAGAATGTTAACCATTTTAGCTACCCTTGATTTCTACTGTATGGACAAAAATTTCTTGAATTTCTCAAAATATCTTTTATGTTTAAAATAAATTTTTATTTTAAGAAATTCATACAGGTTTGGAATGGCATGATGCTGAGTAGGCCTAATTGATGACAATTTAAATTTTTGGGTGAACTATCCCTTTAAGAACTAATATCTGTAAATAGTAAACACCTTATTTATATAAGATAGAGACACTGATATTTATCTTTAGTCAGTTTATTGAATCAACATTTTACTTAAATTACAGTTAATTAAAACGAAACAAGAAAGAAAAGAAAGAAGCTATTAAAGTTTGTTTACATTGTTTAGATCATTACATTGTTTACAATCATTGTTTAGATTGTCGTGGTTGTTTTCAGCCAGAACCTTTAATGTTCTCAGATCACACAACTGTATAACACAATTCTGTGTCACTCCTGAATGGTTCAAATGATGTGCACTGTTTATCTCTTATAAATCGTGGCGGAAGCACAGCGCTGTGTGGGTGACTGATCCTGCTCTGCTTTTGTACGCGGCTGGCGGATGCACCGGGTAGCGCCGCTTCACACTTGAATGTCCCGGTGCTCCCGATGGTCAGTACATCCCTGGGTATTTTCAAGTAAGCTAGATATGTGCAGATGCTGCGCAATTAGGCCGTATTTAATATATCATGATGAGTCACGAGTTCAGTATTTGCACTAAATCTGCGCAGATTTAGCTTTTAGCTGCTTTGTGTACAGCTGTTACCTACCCTGCTCATACATTGTTAATTTTATTTGTGCAGGTCTTAAAGGGGTCATATGATGCTGCTAAAAAGAACATTATTTTGTGTATTTGGTGTAATGAAATGTGTTCATGAGGTTTAAGGTAAAAAAAAACACATTATTTTCCACATACTGTACATTATTGTTTCTCCTCTATGCCCCGCCTTTCTGAAACGCGTCGATTTTTACAAAGCTCATCAGTCTGAAAAGTGAGGTGTGCTCTGATTGGCCAGCTATCCAATGCGTTGTGATTGGCCGAATACCTCAAGCGTGTGACGGAAATGTTACGCCCCTCACCATACTGTGATGATGCCCTGTCAGGCGATGATTCAAAAACGTGAAAACCCATTATAAACGAGGCATTCGTTGCATCCAGTGGGGACATAATTACGGATTATAATGACTTATACT